CCTTGCTTAGTAAGGATATTTTAGGAAAGACACCACCTATTTATTACAAATAACTAATTTAATTTTTTTTCTTAATTTTTTTAAATTAGTCAACTAACTCTTATAATTAGGATCGGAAGTAGTATCAAATATATATATATATTTTTTTTTTAACTGAGATTTTGATTTCTTAGGTCACTGTGTCATTTTCCTCTAGACGAAAGAAAAGTACAATCAAATATTGTTGCCTTGGGGCCTGCGTCGTTACCTATATGTTCTTGAAGCACTCTGGTAAGATTATCATCATTTCCTCTTAAAATTCCATTTCCACCTTGGATCAAAAGGTGGATGATTTAATTTAATCTTCACCTTGGATCAAAAGGTGGATGATTTAATTTAATATTTTATAAAATTATTATTATGGTACTACCTCCGGTCCTAATTATAAGACCCAGTTGACTTATTTGAGGAGATTAAGGAAGTAAGTTAAGTTAGTTATTTGTAATAAATAAGTGTTGTCATTCCTAAAATATCCTTGCTAATTAAGTATATTGGCTAGAACTATCATTATTAGAAGGATTATCTTAGAAAAAAATGCATAAATATGAGAGGCAAAATGGATTGGGGTCTTATAATTAGGACCAAACAAAAAGTCAAACTGGGTCTTATAATAAGGACCGGAGGTAGTATTATATGAAAAAAGAGAGAGGTCGATATTTATTGTTTTAAAAATTAAATCTGAACCATTCTTTTTTTTTTTAATTCAATGGTAAAGATGTGGAAAAGAGAGGATTATAAGAGGATCTGGACATATGTTTTTCGAGTTTACCGCGTTTCGCTCCAAAAAAATCCCATTTGAGATGGATGCAGAAACTGAGAGGAAAGAGCTTGAAGGAGCTAACCCTATCTTCCTCTTCTCTAGTCTCTCTTCCGAAAGTCCTAGTGTCCGTAGCGAATCTCAAAACCTAGATTTCGATTGATTTATGCTTCACTGCATCCTTTTTGAGTATGTTTGGATTGGCGTTGGACAAAACTGACTTATAGTCTAACTGACTTTTGTAACTGAAGTTAGAGTAAAAGTCAATTAGTATAATATGATTTATGTTTGGATAGATGTTTATAAAAAGTCAGTTAAAGAAGTTAAAAGTTGTTTGGATGATTAATAGAAAAGTTAGTTTAGTTGTAAATGACTGAAAATGACATGGACTTTATTGAATAGTAATGTTTGAAATTTTATGTTTTTAATGTGATAATAGTTTAATACATAAAATTATTATGATAAAATATAAATAGTTTATTTGTAAGATTATAAAATAAAAATATTTGTTACGGAGAAAAATTTGAAAACACATTGTAGATAATTAATTAAATATACATAATGGATAAATAAGAATATAAATTAAAATTTATTTAGTCTTTAATTAAAGTAAATGAAGTCACATTACTAATTAGATCATAAGTTTTGCACAATTTTCTCATAAGTCAGTTAGAAAAGTTGATTCAGATTGCGTTGGATAAGTCAGTTAGAAAAGTTACTTTTTCCCATAAGTCAGTTAGAAAAGAAGTCCCATCCAAATAATCTTCTGAGCCACAATAAGCCACTAACCTCAGTTTCACGTTTTCTCATGTATTTTTGGCTTCTCCATCTGCAATCCAAACATAGCCTTTGTCAGTTCCCTTCAGCTTCCTTCCTTTTTTCTTTTTGCTTTTACTCTCTCCCGGAAGCTTCCTCCTTCATTCCTTTAATTTTCACAGGGCATGCGTCTTTTATACCTCTCTCTCTCTCTCTCTCTCTCTAAATTTTTTTCTTATAATATTTCTTAGAAAATAAAAAATAATGTATTTAAATACCCTGAAAATATCTATAAAAAACACCTAACATCTAAAAGTATTTATTAGCTCTTATACACTCTAAAAGCTTATTTTTTATGTAACCGTTAAATCATGTGATTTAACCATTGTCTTTAATGGTCAAATCTAATAATGGCCATGGTATTTTTGTTATGATAATGGGTCTGTTTGAATCAGCGATTAGAAAAATAACTTATTGTCAATTTAATTTGTGAAAAAGTGAAATTGAATAAAAACTAAATTAGATAAGCTGAATTGTATTTGGATTGGAGTTCAGAAAAGCTAATTTATAAAAGTAAGATTAGTAAAAAGTTATTTGGATTATGATTGAGTAAAAGTAAGTTTAGTTGTAAAATAACCAAAATGAGTATGAGTTTTAATAAATAATAAAATATGATTAAAAAAAATATTTTACATAATATAACGAATTTAAAATAATTTAATATAAAGAATTTTAATAAGTGAATTAAATTTTAAAACTATAAAAAAATCTTAAAAAAATATTTTAAATATAAAGTGAACAAAAAAAAAAGAATTGACAATTTGAAAACTTTAGAAAAATCATAAGAATACTTTAAATATGAAATGAAAGAATCTTCAGGAAAGAGGGGGGGGGATATGGCAGGCTATAATTTTAACTTATTTGCAACTCAATCCTTATACTTTAATTCAATACAACTCAATTACTATAATTTTAACTCGGTTGTAACTCAATCCTTATACTTTTAACTATTTTATAATTTAGTCCATCTTTTTATTAGGTATATAATTTTCATTCTAAAACATAAGGACTAATTATAAAATGTGTAAAACTATAGAGACCAAGTTTGCAATAAGTCAAACTTCAAGGATTAAGTTACAACCGAGTCAAAATTATAGAGATCGAGTCAAAGTATGGAACTTGAGTGACAAAAATCTCAAAAATATAAGGACCAAAAGATTAAATTTTTTTTTATATAAAATATGTGGCAGGCTAACCCTACCACTTATTTCATAGTTATTTCTCACAAACCCTGTCCCTTTCTATTCTATTAGGATTATGTAAGAATCTAGTGGTTTGGTCTAAACCAATCTAATCCAAGGTGGTCTGTTTTGGTCCAAATAAGCTCATTAATAAAATCAAACTCAACTGGTTAGTCAAGCTAGACTGAATTTAAAAGCAGACTAAATGACCAAACCATCTGGATTGGTCCAATCCAGGTCAATATTATTTCTTTGATATTTTGTGAATTGAATGTTAATTTTTATTGTTGTTAGAGATTACTATGGATTTATAATTAAATTTTAATGTTTTGTTATGAGTTTGATATGATTATAAGTATTTTTTTGTCTTAATCGTGTTTATTAAGTTAAAGTCTTGCCTTTCATTAAGGGGAAAAAAAAAAGAGCTAAAAAGGATAAATTGAGGTATTGGACTAGTGGATCAAGTCTGGTCTAACTCGACCTCAAATTAGAACCGAACCAGACCAAACCAATAGTTATTTTTTTCAGCCTGATATCTTATCTAAACTAGATTTCTGAGTTGATAACTAATTTGATCTAGTTTGATCTTTGCACATACTTATATTTTATTACTAGCCGCCCTCCCCTAAAGGCAAGCCCAAACTCTCCCCTTGTTAAAATTTTTGTTAAAATTAAAATATGGAGAATATCTTATCATGAATATAATATTCAATATAAACAAGGTCTGGGAGAAACAACCACCCAATTCTCACAGCTCCAAGGGTTTGCTTCTCACCCTCTGGCTTCTTTACGCCTTGTCAGACACGTGTCCTTGGCTTGGGCTTCCCCTTGGATCACCTTCCGGGCTCAAGTGTCTTGGGTTTTGGCAATTATCAGTCAAAGTCATGATTACTTTCAGGCCCATGAACAACTGCAAAGAATCAGTTTAGTGCTTAAAGTGCTTAATAGTATATTAAACAAAATTGTTTCTAATAAAAAGATACCTATACATAACTAAAGTAAAAAAAAAAAAAACGGTTTAGGTAAACTTTGCCAAAGCCAAGCGTGCTAGTTCAAATAAGAGTTCTACTTTCTCAGTAGATGGTTTTTCAGGTTGTACAAATTAATTAAATCTGGAGACACAGCTAAAGGATTTTAAATTAGAAGATAGCTAGGAAGCAACCATCTCGTATATCCACGCTCTAGGTTTGCCTCATTAAATTCCGGCACAATTGAAACCTAAAACTCACCGCAACCGTATTGAAAATTTCTTCATAAGAAAATCAACCTAGATGTAGAGTCTAAGAACTAAAGCCACAATTGTGAATCATAAGCTTGGGTTGAATTTTAATATCAACATGAAACACTTAAACAGAACTCCAGCGCACTTTTTAATTAATAAACAACATATTTCACAGAAATTTAATCTGAAACAAGAGCAAATATTGCTCTTTTCGGAACTTAAATGGAATTTTGAGGAAAACATTGACCGCATGCAGCACTTTTCGGAACAAAACACAACTTCAAGGATTGCAGAAGTTAAATGCCCGATTTAAATTCTCGCCGAACTTAAACTACTACATATGCACTTTTCAGCCCAGAATAGTGGCACACATATACAGTAATTTAACACAGAATCATGCTAGAAGTAATACAGCCCATGTTCAGTGATTCTTGGCTCCAAAACAATTTCTAAGTCTCTCATTTGATTCTTCACGACCATTGCCTGATTTAAAATTTTTGGAGATCTTTTTATAGAAATTAAAATTTGCAAATAAAAGAAAATGCAGGGAAATTAGGCGAAACTAAAATTAAGGTTCTTGTAACTTGAGTGATTAATTAGAACGCAACCAATTAAGGTTTTACTTAACGAAGGAAAACATCCTTGGTCTGTTAAAAATTAATTAGAACAAAGGGACACATAAAAGTCGTAGACCAGTGAATTTTTCCTGGGTGGATTAATTTCTGCGCAGCAATAGTGACTGAATTTTAACATGAGCAATAACAAAATAACTATTAAGATATACATAAAAGTGGGATGCCCCAAAAAAAATAAATCAAGGAAAGTCAAAAAGAAAAGTATTATATTTCTGCTCTTTTCTCCTCACAGTACGTTATAATTTTTATTATGAATATATCTACGTTCTGAACTGAACGCAGTTGGTGAACAGGGATACGCAGAGCCGGGATTCCTCCAGATCGCCATTAGCTTTCCTTTGATCCAAGGTTCACTGATCAGTAAGTAAAAGAGGAAGATAGTAGAAGCCAGTAAATTGCAGCGTAACATATGCAGCATACAAGGTGAAAGCCTCCAGTAACACAACGTAATTGTACGTGACGAATAAATCGAGCAATCGAAGAATCAAAAGGAATCCATGAGCCCCACGTAAACTAGAAAGCAGAAGGAAGATTGATTGGGTGAAGATTATGGAGTTAATCACCAAGAACAATGCAGCTAATGAGGCCAGACAGGTCTTGATTATTTTTATGCTGGGGAATAACACATGATTTGGTGAATAATAGCTCAGAGATATGCAGCTCCAATCTATTTTCGTGTCTGTTTGGAATGGTGTTGAAGGGGGATTTGTCAAACCTTGGTATGACAACGTTATAATTAACGTTGCCTCTACTAAAACTGTATTCTGAAACTCTGCTGACGCTGCTTTTTGTTTCTCTTTATTTTCAGGTGCTTCATCACAGCCATCACTACCATCTTCCACCTCCACCGTTATATTAGTTTCTTCCTTTATCTCATCTTTGTCTTCTTCTTTCCCTTTGTCTAGTATTACCTGCCACCATATTGTATTCATTATACACATTGTTTCATAATCACTACGTTAAAAAAGGGATTTTTCCTTGTATTTGTGTGTATAAAAGAAGTTAGTCCCTTCAGTTCTATATGTACGGGCTAGATGAGTGGTTTGGTTTGATTCAAAATATAAGGGCTCAACCCCCCCCCCCAAAAAAAAACCTACCCGCATGACCGGATTCTTATTATGATGTACTGGCTATGTTGATAACAGCCCAATGTATTAATTATTTATTACAATTTTTTCATTTTACCCTTATTCCATGTTATCGAGTCTTAACGTTTTCTTTAGTGGTTGTAGTAAAAAAAAAATACTGAAAATGACTTATAAATAGGTTTAAGAGATTAAATCATTAAAATAAATAGTATTTTAGGAGGACCGGTGCATTTTTTTTTTTTACAAAAAACTAATTCACCTAATTTTTTCTTAATCGGTATGAATTAGTTTAACTAATCCCTATATATATCTATGATGGAGCGAGTGCCAACAAATACGTAATTCAACCGGATTTGGGGTGTGTGCCTGCCCCTCCCTCGTTGCCCTCTCTGTTGCCCCTTAAATTTTCCTCACTTTCCAAATGTTTTTTTAATTATTAAATTCTATATAAAATAGTGATATTTTGATATCTCATTAGCAAAAAATAGTGCAGTTTTTAATTTTTTACGAGTTTTCAAATACTTTGTCTCTAATTGAAAAAGAAGTTTCATTGATTTTAGAGTGATTTTTTTTCAAAAAAACGTGTGGAAAGTGCAAAAAGTTTAGGGACAAGCATAAGAGGAGTAGCAAACACGCCAAATCCAATTCAACGGGCATATATTTGTACGACCTTGTAACTACTCTGGTGGTTCTACCAGCAAACTTATATATATATATATATATATATATATATATAATATATAAGAGAAGAAGTGGTAAATTTTTTGGTGTATTACCATGAAGTTTTTCTTTGCGGCTGTAAGGTCATAGACAGTCTTGCCGTTGATGTCCTTGGCTTTTTACAGTGCCTGGAAATTCGGAAGCCTTCTGATGCTCTCCACCATCACTTGCACCACTTTAAGTCTATTGGCCTTCACTGCTAAATGCAGAGCTGTCTCTCCTTTTGCTGTTACTTCTTCAGCACATTCAGGACTACGCCTCATCAATTCTTTAACCACCCCAACTCTCCCTCTGGAAACTGCGTAATGCAGTGGAGTCCGACCTTCGTTGTCCTTCAAAAGGCACTGGTTCTTCATCACTTCATCGTCCTCATCTTCAAGCTTCGCCTTCAAAAGCTCTCTTACAGTCTGAACATGGCCTTGTGCTGAAGCCATGTGCAGTGGGATTAAACCTTCCCGGTTTGTGTGCATGGCTAGTGAAGGCATCAGGCTCATAATCCGCTTCACAAAATCCACTCGTCCTGATAATGCTGCAACATGAAGAGGTGAGTCTGCAGATAGGGCTAAAGACGCTTTTTCCAATACTTGAGGATCTTCCTCCATTATTCTGTGCAATGCCATAACATCTCCCACCATTGCAGCTTCAACAATCTCTGATCCATGATTTCTTTTCTTAATGTGATACCATATATTTGCTTGATATTACCGTACCATACAGTCACTCGGTCAGATTTAGAGAATTCCTTGTATTAATATGCATGTGTACCTGTCTCGTGTGTCCGTACATATATGCCTTGCTCTAAGATCAATCTGTCTCCTATTATTCCAATATGCCATATATGTCCGAAGTTAGCTAGTGTCCCCGTCAAGAATTACGTATGTGATAGCTTTTCTTATTGTATTTTTCAGAAAAAAATTGACACAACTTTCATGTGTTGTTTCTTCCACCAGTCAGTGTGAACTCTTATAGTTATTGCTTCCTTTCTATAAGTGTTCTTGTCAGAGAGTTAAGATTGGAATAAATTGAATGCTATTTACTTATACAGCATAATAATTCTGAGTTCAATAATGATTGATATTCCCAACATGCCAATGGTGTATCTGTTTGATAGGATTGGGAAATGTCACTCCTTCCTATCATATCATTGTCATCCAAAAAAAAAATTGTTTTTGGGACCTAATAACTGTGAATAAATTGAATTTTTGGGACTTAAAGCGTGATTCTCCTTTTGTTTTTTTAATCTTCGTCAGTGAGTCGTTGATACTTATAATGTTAGATCACCCGTCCTTTGTTAATAAAATAAGAATATAATATTCAATTTAATGGCAAGAAAAGAATATATCCCTGAAAGGACAAAATTTGAGAAAAGTGAATGAGGTTTAAATTTTAGATTATTTACTTGTTTGGCCAAAAAGATAGATTATTAAGTCGAAGGCAAAGAATATATTAAAGTCATCAGCATAGCATGCATAATCAAAATCAGCAAAAAGTTAGACACCGTATCCATCTGCTACTCACAAAGTAAGCAAACAAAATGCAATGGAAATATGATGAACAAAATAGGGAAATAATTGACTCAATCATCAACAAACTGTAATTTGGATCAAGTAAATTGCAAAATATAGTTTCATGTGATTCTTCTATAACTTAAAAAAGCCTGTCCAGTTGCTATGATTTAACCTATTAATGTTATATAATACGACCTCCAACTCTTAATATAAGATTTAACTTATAGTTTAAATTGCATTACAAATTAGATCATACATTAAGAATCATAGTTAATACTTTTGAGTGCTAAATCCCAACGTGAACAGTTTCACAACATATTGCAACATCATTAGGTTGAGATAGCGTGAGCAGTTGCACATGGATTGTTGTTCGGCCTCAGAAAGTGGAAACCACGATGATGATTGATGTCAAGAAGATCATGGTGTTGAGAAGCAAGAACCAAAAAGCCCACAGGGCTGGACAGTCCTTGAGGTTGTTTGGAGATATCCGACCAAATATCAGGCCAAGGCGAAGGCAGCCCCATTCTACTGCAGTGCCATCTTTGAAAACGAGTGATGGAGGATTTGCCATAGCTTGGTATGTCAGTGTTATGGTCAAGGTGGCCACTACCAGTATTGCATCCTCCTGCAACTGCGATGCATTGCTCTTCTCTTTTTCAGATGCTTTACCGCCATCCCACTCCCCCTCCACGTTTATACGACTTTCCTCTCTTATTTCATCTCTTTCCTCCTCATCTTCTTTCAGTACCCCTAGCACCTGCCACATTCACCTTCCAATCACATATAGAAAGAGTCTAGATGAGATAAGCAAATTCTATTACCTTGTAACGACTCAATATGAGGATATTCTTAAGAAAGGCCACGTGTCAAGAAAATGGAAAAGGGAATGTGTTTATCATGAGGACGTTGCAAATGTGGGAGTGAGTGGTGTAGAGGTGATTACACTATATTAAGGGAGAGGCAAAATGAGAATAGGGTGTGGATGATTTGGATGATCTTTTCTCTGGTCCCATTCTTCGGGAATCTTTTATCTTGGCTCTCTTCGTCCCCGTCAAGCTTCCTCTTCTCTCTTCTCTCTTCCCTCTATTTCCCTGTTAATTCCTCTTCTTTCAATGTATTTTCAGATGCCTGTAATTGTTATAAACTGGATTGAATCTTAAATACATACTTGTCATTCCATTGTGCTGAGATATTACAATTTAGATCGTTACATACCTGGTCCTTAATATAAGAGCTAGTTTGACTTTTAATTTGGTCTTCAATGTAAGACCTCAATTCACTTTATCTCTCATATTTATCTATTTTTCTAAAATAGTTCTTGTGGTAGTTACACATGTTAAATATTCTATCAATTAGTAGTTCTAGCTAATATACATAATGAGTAAGGGTATTTTGGAGAATTCAATTTATGTTTATTATAAATAACTAACTTAACACTTCCTTAATTTATTCAAATTAGTCAACTAACTCTTATATTGAGAAGTGGAGGTAGTACTTTGCTTAACATACACACACCCCTGCAACTCTTTCTTTAATTTGCGGCTGCAAGGTCATAGACGGTCATGCCATTGATGTCCCTGGCTTTTACGAGTTCCTGGAAATTTGGAAGCATTTCGATCCTCTCTGCCAGCACTTTGTTCACAGCTTCAAATTGATTGGCCTTCACTGCTAAATGAAGAACAGTCTCTCCTTTTGCTGTCACTTGTTCCAAGCACTCAGGACAGGCGCTCATTAACTCTTCCATCACTCTCATTTTGCCTTTCCGTGATGCACAGTGCAGCGCAGTCCGGCCTTCGTCATCCTTCGCAAGGCATTGATTCACTCCATCATCGTCGTCAAGCTTTGCCTTCAAAAGTTCCCTCACTGTCTGAACATGACCTTTCAAAGAAGCCAGGTGCAGGGGATCATACCCTGCTGGTTAGGATCTGTGGCTACGTAAGGCATTCGAATCACAATCTGCTCCACAAATTCTGCTTTTCCGTATGGCGCTGCGACATGAAGCGCCGAATCTACAAAATGACCCGAAGATGCTCTCTCCAGTATTCCAGGATCTGCCTCTATTAGGTTGAGCAGTCTGTTAACATCTCCATCTCTTGCAAATTTCACCAACATCTGATCCATCACCTTTCACCAACTCTTCCTCGACTTTTCAACGCGGTTCCGCTGTACGTATTTATAGCCTCACAATATGGCGTTATCGTGTTAATTATAATTTGTTCATTTTAGGATGAACATATTAAGTCATTGGCTTAACTTTTTATCTTGATATATTTTATGTAACCATAATCATCACGGCGGGAACTCGCTGACCTGATAAATGATAAGAAACTAATTTGATTTTTAAAAAAAATGATTGAGCTTACATTGTGTGAGGTCATTGACTTGATTAATATGATAAAAAAATTTTAATAGAGATGGGCTCCATTAATTAATCTAAAGTGTTTGTATCAACTTTACAATGCTGATCAAATTAATATAACTGTTAGGTTTAGTGATAATATAATATATAAACACACACGCAAGCAGTAAAGTCTTGGCCAATAGATAATCATTTTAAACAAATGATTTGTGAATTTATTAATAACCAGAATAAATGATTCAATTAAACAGCGTCATGCAGACCAGACTGAAAAATCGAAATAAGTTCCAACATTAGACTTCAAAAAATTGCTCGGACAAATTAGGTTGGACTAATCAAAACTCCACTCATGTATGTTTATGCATCCCTCAATCATGCATGTGCCTGCATCATAAAATGAGACAATTTTTCCAACTTAACCTCATGAAATTTACTAGTCTTTTATAACTGGTAAAAAGAAAAAAGAAGCGTTTTTTTTTTTGGTCAATAACTCTATTAACAACTACCTTATCAGAATTAACAGTTTCATGTCAGTAAATTCAGAACTAATGTTATAATATTTACTAGTCATTTGTATAAGATAGGAACTCTCTGATTTGTGTCAAACCGACCTAGTCACTCTCATCACTTATGAATGAGCAGTAAATGGCCAGGAAATACAAAGAAAGACATCACAGCATTCAATTACCTCTTATTTTAACACATTTCTTTTTTAGATTCACTGGCTATGTCCCTGTGATCCTTCAGATTAAGGCAGTGCTTGACGCATTTTTACGAGGCCTTGATGTGATCTCTGATTAGGGCAGTCCCATTCTATTGTAGTGCTGCCTTCTTTGAGAAAGGTTGATGGAGGACTTGCCCAAGCTTGACAATCAGCTTCTTTTTTTTTTTTTTTTTGTATTCTTCAACTTCACTCCCCTCCCTCTTCTACGTCAATGCTTATTTCATCCCCCTCATTTTCTTCCCTCGGTACCTCTACTACCTGCCGCACTCGTATATATTCCAATCAACATGCATGTATATATAAACACTGAAATATATTTATTAATTACATGCACATATATATTATACTTCTCTTCACACACACACACAGCTGCAAGTTTTTCTTTGCTACTGCTGCAAGTTAATAGGCCCTTTTTCCTTTTTGGTCCGGGCATTTAACGGTGTCTGGAAATTTGGAAGCCTTTTGATTGGCCTCTCCTTTTGCTGTACACTTGTTCCAGGCACTCAGGACATTTGGTGATTAACTCTTCCATCACCCCCATTTTGCCTTTCTACGATGCACGGTGCAGCCCGGTCCAGCCTTCGTCGTCTTTCAAAAGGCACTGGTTCACCCCATTATCATCAAGCTTCGCCTTCAACAGCTCCCTATAGCTAACGGTCTCAACATGACCTTCTAAAGAAGCCAAGTGCAGTGGGATCTATTTATTCTACCGTGCTTGTTTGTTTCTGTGGCTAATGAAGGCTTTCGAGTCACAATGCGGTTCACAAAATCTGCATTCCCTGATCGTGCTGCAACATGAACAGGTAAATTTGCAAAATGAACCGAACATGCTTTCTCCTGTATTGGAGGATCCTCCTTCAATATATTGCGCAGTTTGTTCATGTCTCCATCTCTTGGAGCTTTCACCAAGCCTAGCACTATAAAATAATCACACTTGTGCTTTGTTGATTAATCTCCTACCTCCACTCCCTTTATTTTTTCAACTTAATTTTTAATTTTTTTTTAATGGATTTAATCTTTTTTTTTTATAAGTTGTACTTTGAAAAT